AGCCACTTGTCAGCGGGGGGGGTATAAAAGGCAGCAAGGCAACAGCCTCTAAGGAAGGAAGGAAGGATGGATGATAGGCTCGCCGACATGAGGTGGACATACTGTGGGTTTTTTGCAGTTACATTTTTTAATGTGAAGGGTTTTGTGTGTATGCAGATATTTAGCTGTTACTCTGAGTTAACGCAGTTGAATAATGTATAATTTCGAAATCATGTAGGCTACTTTATTTATCGTTAGAATTTAATGTTAATGTGTAGCGTTAGCAAAACTTCGAGCCAGTCGTGGGTCCTCATTAGCTCCGTGTGTTAGCTTTCCGGTACATGCTTTTGCATGTTCATTTTAACGAGGTAAATTAAGACTTGCTTATCGGAGAATTTGCCATGACTTAGCGGTAACTAGTCACCCGTCCCTCGTTGGCTCTGTAGTGTGGCTGTAGGCTACTTTATCTAGCGTTAGCGAGAGTTTAATGTTGGCATGTAGCGTTAGCAAAACTCTGCTAGCAAGAAGCCTTTCGGGCTGAGGCGAGCAGGGCTTGTGCCCTAGCTCCGTGTGTGGTTAGCCTTCCCATACTCTGTTTTGCTTTTGCATGTTCATTTTAACAATGAGGTTAATTATCGAGACGTAATTGCTTCTAGTTTTGCTATGACTTGGAGGTAACAGTTACTATCCCCTGTTGGCTCTGCAGTCTGTCAGCATTATCGACTATATCTGGACTTGATTAATGTTAGCACCCTCGTTTTAAAACACCCAGCAAGCTCACTGTTTAGAGAACACTGGTCTTTGACACGGACTTCTTTGTTGTAGTGGAGAAACCTTTCTAGCTAAATGCGTGAGTATTGTTTTTCTGCCATGTCTAGAGCCTCCATTTAGATTGAAGTCCAGACAAACCATCAGCTGCCAATCATTAATGAACGACCCGAAAAGCCTGCTTTTGTTTAAATTAAGATCAAATTCAAAATATCCGGTTTTATTGACAGTGGAAGTATATCAGTAACATGTCCGTGTCTCAGTCATCCAGGTCACGGTAAGCTGAGAAAAAAAAAAAAAAACCTGGACTTTGTTTTAGGTCTAAGACCTCTCACCTCTCGTTCAAGAGGCTTAATCAGTCCTGCCCGACCGGCCAGATATATTTATCCCCATTGGTGGTGGTTCAAAATATTCTATCTTCAGAGATGCTCTGGGCAGGCGTTTCTATGATACAATGGGGTAGGGGCTTATTGTAATGTATGAAGGACGTCTTTGTTCTGCATGAATAAAGGTAGCAGTGTAGGGTAGGTAACGCTAATCTGACATGAGGTGGATTCACTAGCTTTTGTAGCACCTAATTGCATTACATGTTTCCTCATCAGGCTTGGATTCATAATAAATTTTGAATATAGACCTTCAGAGCTAAAATATTCCTGTCGTTTTCTCAGAGGGGAATTGTATTGTGTACTAGTACTTGATTACCTATGTTCTCGCTGTATTTTGGCAATACCCACAACGGTAAGACTATACTTTGCACAGATGTAATGGTATTTGTCCATTTCCCCCACAATTTTTATGAAAAGCAGTTTTGACTAAAAATGATGCATTTAACACTTTGTTGTACAGAAGACCTGAGTACATCAACTCCAGAACTTTGAGGCACATGGCCCAGTGAAGAAGACAACCCAAAACATTGTGGGCTCACACTACAAACAATGCAGATGGTAAGTTAATTGTTCAGACCGTTGTGAAATGTCACATCTTGCTGTTATGTTGTGAAATGTATTCCTTCAGTTTAGTATTGCTTAAATGTGACCACTTTTTACAAGAGTGGTGCTAAAATGCAAAGTTTAAATTACTGTTACTCAAATTTGCATGACCTGTTTCATAAATTCAAGGTAAACAAATGAATGTTCCTTATAGGCTTAATGGCGATAAACCCATCAGCAGTATGGCTTTTTCTTGGGACTTGCATGAAGTTTTTTTTGTCAAAATGATGCCAATTTGGAACTTTGCAGTGCCCATTTTGTGCATATGAAAGGCTGTTCACTGCCCAGGTACAAATGTGTTCATTAAAAAGCCTTTGCTTCAAAATTAGAGCATATCCTGCTTTAAACTCAAGCTTTTTCCATTTCCCTCTAGGCAATTAACCAGACAATCAGCATTCTTGAGGACATACAGGCAAGTTTGTTTTTAAATGACCATTTATTGATATCAAAGCTTTACAAAACTTTTTTTTT